CTCGCGAGCGCGCGCGTGCGCCACCAACCCTAGGGAGACACCGCCGCATGCTCGCCCATGACATCTGAACCCGAACCTCTCTCTTGCCAAGCGTCGGCAATCTTCCGCCGATGGGAGCTGCGAAGGAGCTCAGTTTTGCTCCCACGGGCTTTACCAAGCAAGTCGTAGTGCTGTTTGTCGCTGCCTCGGCAGTGCGCTTCGGCCAACTTCGGCTGGTGAAGATGAAACCTCGCGAGTGCAATTGCCCTGGCAATCTGATGGGCCAGCCTGGGCAAGAAAAGTGATCATCTTTCCCTCCTTTTCCGGGAGCGATCACGGCGATTGTTCTGAATATCCTCTGAACTCTCAACACCCCCCTCTCATGTCCTGTAGCACGCATGCTACCCACAGACAGGGTGAAAAGGGAACGTGGTCATCGCATTCTGGCTCAACTTATCATGCTAACCTCTCTCTCGTTCCTCTGATATCCCTCTTTCCTTGACTCCTCTTGCTGTTCCTGCTTGATGCAGGTCGAGCCATGCAACAGCATGGAACCCACGATGCGGCACCTCCTGCGGGATGGAGGCAGAGCGTAGGGAACATGTAGCACTTTCCGAATCAAACGTGCTCCCTTTTCCAATCCTCCCCCGGCCTCCTCCTAGAGTCCTCCAGCATCCCCCTCCCCTCCTCGACGTCGAACCTCCCCTCTCCCCATCCCTCTCTCGAACTTGCCACATCCGAGCCCGCTCGTGCGAGTCGGCGCGAGGCCGAACGAGAGGCCTGGGATGGGCATTTTGGGGGCAGCGGAATGGTCGAGGGCCGAGGGAACTCGCGCTTCACTCCTTCAATCCCCTTCATCTCTTTTTCCGGAAGAGAAACACGAACCACAACCACGCGGACAAATTGAGCGGGTCTCGCGAGCAGTCACCCCACGCGGGCTCTCTCCTGGAGTCTCGCATGGCTCCTTGTCCATCATCATGTTCATGGAACGTAATGTTTACTGTTGTGTCTTGCTCCTTGCTCTCGTCCATCATTGGCTCTCGCTGTCTGTTTTGACATGGCGCATGGCGTCTGACGCTACGCGCGCAACCGCGCGCCCTCCATCTCGTCTTTCGGGGAGACTTAAGAATCGGGTTCGGGGGGCTCGGGTTGGCCTGACGGGCCCGTCAAGAAAATGACGAGACCCACTCTGAAACTCGACGCGAGCTCCCGGTGCACACATCCCACGAGAACTGGACCGTCAGAATCCCGGGCGGGCTCGTCAGAAAGCGTGGGCGAACCCGAGTTCCAGCTTACACCCTGCGAAATGCTTTAGAAATCATGGGTTGAGAAATTCATAGTCTCAGAACTTGAATAAAACCCAGAACTTCCATCAAAATCTTGGGATTTACATTGAAAAGTTAAGAATAATCGAGACTCTGGCCGAAAACTTAAGTTTTCTTAAGCATCGCCTAAGGTGTACTCGAGTCTTACGTTTCTCCGATCCCTTCGGAGCAGAAGCCGAGAACCCCTCAGCGAGGGGCCCGCCCCTGCCGACAGGTCCTCGGCTGCGGGGGTCCGCGTTCCTCCTCGGATCCTTGGCTGCCTCCCGCTGGAAGCCGAGCCGACAGGACAACCGATTCGCCAAGGAGTGACTACCTACCAGACCACCCCAACCCAACCCGAAGACCCGAATTTCGGGTTGGGGGGGGTAAGGGTTCCACACGTGTTTTTTCGATGTTCCCCGACCCCCCCCCCACTGGAAATCGAGGGTAAATCTGAGCCTTCGGGTTGGGTTGGGGTGGTTTGGTGGGTGGTGAGACAAGACAACCGATTCGCCAAGGAGGGTCGGCAGAACGTTTCTTTTGTCTGGCACTGCTTGCTGCCGCAATTGGAACTGCGCATGGAAGGCCTGGCGTGCGCCAGCATCGGGCACGGCGAAAACAACCAGATCAAAATAACCACAGAGCTTCTGCAACTCTAGGTCAAACGCTCGCGCAACTTGATCAGGTGGATTCCTCCCTACCCCACAGCCCCAAGCCCCAAGAATGAGCTTGCGGTGCCCTTTCTGCGCACACACTTGCAATACTGACCGGACCTTTTCACAGATTCGTTCCTCGGGCGAATCAGAACGGTTTAGTTCTCTAATGTGCATAGATCTCGCAGCTACAATGGCTAACGCAAATTCTTTGAAGGGCTCGGACGGTTCTTTGCCAGGCAAGTCGAACACATAGATGCCTGGGTCCCCGCAATAGATGACATCAAGTCCACTGAGCGGAAATAATTTGTCCTGGCCTTCGAACGCTGTCTCGAAAGTCGTGTGCCGGCAGAAGTCACCAAGTTGCCGTGGATAATCTCGTGGTCCTCTGGTTCCATTTGGGCCCGCACTATTGGCAAACACGAGAGCGCAACAACCTGAGCCGTGACGACTGGCTGCGGTCAGGGTGTCGTCCTTCGAGACCTCGACTTGTGGCCACACTTGACCAGGTATCTCATCAAATACCTCCCACGGTGGGAAGGAACGCTTCTCCGGGCACGCGCGTCGAGCCCATCCTGCATTTTCCGCCTCCCACGCCCACGCGGCAACACTTGGCTCGCCCTCCCATGTCCGCCAGCAGTCGGCACAATAGTACGTGCCGTAGTACGGCTCACGGTCTGAAGCCGCTTCTACCTGCGAGGAGAAACGAGAGAGAACCGCATGCCCTGGATAATAAATCACCCCCCCTTAAGCGCCTGGTCTTGAAAATCTCTGGCCAAAACAGAGTTGGTCGGGGGAGAGGGTCGGCGAGGCCGAACTTGAGTATCGCGGGTGAGAGTTCCGAGAAAAATTGTTGTCTTCTTATACTGAGTAACAACATTATCACGAACGTGTGGCCCTGGGCATGGGATTCTAAGCATGTCAACTTTGCCAGGTCACGAACGTGTGGCGGGAATTATGAGACTCTCACATTTCCAACTTCCCATGTCACGAACGTGCGACAAGGCTCCACTATACTGAATAGCGAGATAACTACTACTACTACTACTACTACTACTACTCCTACTACTCCTACTACTCCTACTCCTACTCCTACTCCTACTACTACTACGACTACTACTACTACTACTACTACTACTACACAGCACCTCATACTACTACTACAACTACGATTTCTACGACTAGGACTGCTACGACGACAATGACGACGACAACGGTGAGGACTACTACTACTAGAACTACTCCTACTAGAACCACTACCTACCTGCTACTACGTACGACTTACTACTACCTACTACCTACTACTACAACTACAACAACTACTACTACTACTACTACTACCACTACTACTACTACTACTACTACTACTACTACTACTACTACTAGTACAACAACAACAACTACTACTACTACTACTACTACTACGGCTACTACGACTACTACGACTACTACGACTACTACCTACTACTACTACTACTACTACTACTACTACTACTACTACTACTACTCTACTACTACGACTACGACTACGACTACGACTACGACTACGACTACGACTACTTCTACGACTACTAGTACGACCACCACCACTACTATTACTACTACTACTACTACTACTACTACTACTACTCCTACTACTACTCCTACTACTACGACTACTACGGCTACTACAACTACTACTACTGCTACTACTACTACGACCACGACTGCTACCACTCCGACGACGACTTCTACTACTACGACTACGACGACTACGACTACTACTACAACCTCGGCGGCTACTACTACTGCTACTAATGGTGCTACCACTACCACTACTGCTACTATTACTACAGCTACGACGACGACGACTACGACTACGACTGCTACAACTACTACTACTACTACTACTACTACTGCTGGTAGTACTACTACTACTGCATGACTACTACTACTACTACTACTACTCCTACTACTACTACTACTTCTACTACTACTACTATTACTTCTACTACTGCTACTACTACTACTCGTACTACTGCTACGACTGCAACTAGTACGACCACTTCCACTACGACTGCACATACTACAACTAATATTACGACGACTAGTAATCCTGGTACTACGACTACTACTACAACAACAACTACTACTACTACTACTACTACTGCTACTACTACTACTACTACTACTAATACTACTACTGCATTATACTTTTGGTTCCTCTACTACGGGTACGACGACTACCACCAGTACGCCCTTTCCTTCGACAGCTGCTTCTTCTTCTACTACTATTACTCCTATTACTACTACTACTACCACTACTACTACTACTACTACTACTACTACTAGTATTACAAATAATACTAGTACCACCACGAGTACTACTACCGACACCACTACTACATGTACTACTGCCAATACTACCACTACCACCACTAGTACCACCACTGCCACTACCCCCAAAAGGACCATTATTACTACTACAACCACTACTGCTGCTACTGCTACGACTACTACTGCTACTACTACTACACCTACTACTTCTACTCTGACCAAGGTTACTGGTACTACTACTACTACTACTACGACTACTACTACTACACCAACTACTACAATGACGAATACTACGACTACCTCGACTGCAACAACTAATGCGACTACTTGTGCTACGAATACAGCTCCGACTACCAATACCACTACTACTACTACTACTACTACTACTACTACTACTACTACTACTTCTACTACTGATACTACTGCTAGTACGACTGCTACTAATTCCAGTACTACTGCTACGATTACTACCACCACTACTACTACGACTACGACTATGAATACGACGACTACTACTGCTACTACTACCGCCACTTCTACTACACCTACGACGACTACTAGTAGTAGTACTACTACTACTGCTACGACTACTACTACTACTACTACTACTACTACTACGGCTACTACTACTACTACTACAACTACTACTACTACTGCTACTACCACTACTAGTACTACTACTACTACTACTACTACGACTACTAGTGCTACTACTAGTACTCCTACTCCTACTACTACTACGACTACT